TTTATTTAATTCTATTTTTAATTAATTTGCTGAGTAGCTAACAATGAATTACTATCTACGAATCTAGAGTTGAACTCGAAAGTGGGAATTCTAGATTCGTAGATAGTAATTCACTGTTAGTTACTCAGCAAATTAATTAAAAACAAAATTAAATAAACAAGCCAATATGATAAAATCTACTTTGTCAAATTAAACTTCAAACATCAACATTCATGTATCGCTCATGACCCTAGAATAATAGGGTTCTTAGCCACTCATGTTCATACAATCATCAAATAATTCACAAGAGTGCATAAGAATCAATAAAAGAAGGAAAAATAAGAACTCAAGATGAATTCCGTGGTTCCCCAGCTTTGTCGTGGCTTTTTTTCCTCTTCCCCTACCTAGAGCACCTTTTCTTCATATTTTTGCACTCCAAACACCCTAATTCATTACACACAACTCAATTAGTCATAAAACCAATAATTAAATCATGTTGGGCATTTTAAGGATCAAATAGCATCAAAAAGCGGTTAAAATATGGGTAAAGTAACATCAACACATATCGAAATATGCCCAACATCAGTATAAAGTAAATTCTTCTCAGTCGAATTATGTAATTGCTATTTCTCGTCCCTATCTTTGAGTGCTCCACTTGCTATTGTAACTGTGTTGATTTCTCATGCCGTCTGCTGATCTCCCCTAATCTGACAAACTCCCCACTATGATGGAAATTTGATTACCTAATGCAAGGTTGACGACATTGCATCCATGTCATGAATCCACGACCTTCCTAAAATTATATTATAGGCCATGTTTGCATCCACTAGTTGAAACTTAATATCTTTGATGACACCCTCTGCGAATGTTGCTAAAATAATTTCACCTTTTGTTACAACACTTGAATTATCAAACCTAGATAACGAACAATCCTTGGGTATGATATGTCCAGTCGCTTGCATCTCATTCACCACTCTTAGAAGTATGATATTCACAGAGCTGCCTGGGTCCATCAAAACTCGCTTGACATTAGTATCATGAACAAGTAAAGATATTACCAGTGCATCATTATGAGGGATAATCAAGCCATCCGTATCTTCATCGTCAAACGTTATGTTGTCTCCCTCCACGACTTGACGAATCCTCTTCCCATGGGTAACTGAGATCTTGGATGTCTTTTTTGCTGCCGTGTATATTACCCCGTTGACCTCTTCACCCCCGGTTATAATATTTACCATTCTCTTTGGCGATGGGTGTTTTGGCAATTCTTGCCTATTTTTCATATAAGACTGTTTTCCTTTTTCACTAAACAGATCAGTGAGGTAACTTTTTTTAGTAGATATTCAATCTCTCGTTGTAGGAGTCTGCAATCTACTGTTTTATGACTATGATTGTTATGGAATTCACACCAGAATTCCTGGCTTCTTTTGCTGGAATCCGTCCCCATCTCCTTCGGCCATCGTACCTTATCACCCATTCCTCTTAGCACAGCTACCAACTCGGACGTTCTAATGCTGAAATTATAATCTCCTATTATTGATCGGGGATTTTGATTGTTGTTTCTTGCTGTATCCCGTTCCTTATTGAATCGGGAGAAAGAACTCACTTCCTTTTGCCTCGATCTTTGATCACACCGTGCCTGTTCTTGTTTTAATCTAGAATCTCATCCCGTGGGTCCCATGTAAGGTTCGTACCTATTTTTTCTAGACCTCATTATTGTTTTTGAAGATCAAGATCCGAACCTTTCCTCTGACTTCGGCTTGGACAACGTATCTTCTTTTATCCATAACTTTGTGTTGTACCCATTATAAAAATCATTCCAAGTAGTTGCAGGAAACTCTAACATGCTTTCTTTTAATCTTCTCGCGGCTTCTGAGCTTTTCTCATTCAAATTACTTGCGAATGCTATAGCCGCCCAATTATCATGTGCGCGTGATAACATCATTCTCTCCTGTTGGAATCGATCTACGAATTCCCTGAGTAATTCCGTATTCTCTTATTTTACCTTGAATATATCTTCCATTCTCTTTTCTACCTTTTGAGCTCCTGAATGTGCTTTTATAAATGAATCTGCAAGCTCAACAAAAGAATCAAAAGAATTTTCAGGTAAGAGTGAATACCAAGTTAATGCTCCGCTTGTGAGGGATTTACCAAATGTTTTCACCAATACTAATTCGATTTCCTGCTTGATTAAATTGTTGCCCTTGAATCCTGTAGTAAATGCGGTAACATGATCCTGTGGGTCTGTAGTCCCATCATATTTTGAGATATCGAGCATCTTGAACTTCTTGAAAATAGGCAATGGTGCTGCACTCGACTTCCAAGGCTATTGAGAATATTTGTCAATATCCACTCCTTTAGTCAAAGGTGGTACTCCTGGTATCTGCTCTATCCGCTCATTTTGTTCCTTGAGCTGCTTCTGCAAGGTTAGCACCAAATTTTGTAAACTAGCATTATTTGGTGTACCTAATCCTCTAGCTCCAGAAATATTTTGCATTTCACCACTTCCAGAGTTTTCTAGCCCTGAATGAGGATTTTTCACAGTTGTATTCACTGGTGGTGGAGCATGCACTACACTTGGCAATCCACATGCAAATGCACGTAGGGCTTCACCAATTTGTTGGGCTATAAACTGCTTCAAATCATCTTGCTTATTTGTTGGTTCGTCAATTTACTGGCCAGCATTACGATTAGCAGATCTTTCAGATGAATTTTCCCGTGAACGCTGTTGAGTAGCCGTGGGTGTATGGTATGGTGGAGTTCCACCTTGTTTCCTTACTTGTTCTTCTTCACCCACCCTAATGATTTCATTAGTCGTAGACATAACTTTCTTCAATTTGTTGCTAAAGATAAAATATGGAAAGTGAAAAGATTATTACTTTCCTGGTAACGAAACTAATTTGTTTTACCAAAAAATAGTTTTTGTGGTCAAAGTAAATATTGAAATAAATCGAGTCTCTAATAACTAATTTTACTTCACTTTTCTAAATATAAGAGAATAAAAAATATTAGAAACTAAATATTTAATGAGTAAATGAAAAGAAATCTTATTGATTATTGTAGCTTCCTTCAAAGAAATGAGAGTAAGAATCTTCAATCAACTAGAGAAATAAGAATAAAAGACTGATTGCATATATTTGTGAATTCCTTGATGGTCGTACAAAATATGGCAAGGGGAGTTTATATAAGGATACAATATGTAACTGCTTTCCCCACTTAATTCCTGCCCGTTACTAACATTAACTACATTAATTGCCCGTTACCCAAATTATTCTTAACGGTTATGGTAATAATAGATATTAGACAATCACGTATAATTAGGGATTATGCTGATTCCTTTTTCATATTCGCAGCCATCAATGAATCTTCCTCTTTTGTAGTCTTCATGTATCCCGTGCCTATCTCTTCTTTCCTGAATTTCAGATACGGTATCTTTGTAAACAATTTCGTGTGTGTTTTACCCACGCGTCATCATTCCTCTTTATTGCTCTTATTGAAATGCCACCTGCCAACATATCATTAATCTATGTGTCATATAGATTTTTCCACTAATACAGTTACATTCTCCCCTCCTTAAACGAAAATTCATCCTCGAACGAGTTTAGAATCATGCATGAAGTGCCAAAAAGGTGATGATATCTGCTCTGCATATCATGCTCAATTTCCTATGTCGCCTCCTCGACCGGTTGACCCTTCAATGAACCTTCACCGATGCAATATATTTTGACCTCAGCTTGCGAACCTGCATATCCAAAATGGCCATTAGCTCCTGATCATAAGTTAAATCCTTGTCCAACTACACGAGCTAAAATTTAATAAATGTAACAGATCCTCCTGGTACTTTTTGAACATGGAAACATGAAATACTAGATGAACTCCCAATAAGATGGGTGGCAAAGCAAGCCTGTAAGCCATCTCACCAACCCTCTCCAAAACCTCAAATGGACCAATATATCGAGGGCTCAACTTGCCCTTCTTCCCGAACCTCATCACATCCTTCATGGGTGAAAATCTGAGTAGAAATCTCTCACCCACCGTAAATGCCACATCACGAGCCTTCCTATCTGCATAACTCTTCTGCCTGGACTGCGTTGTACGAAGCCGCCCCTGAATCAATTTCACCTTCTCCAAAGCATCACGAACCAAATTAGTGCCCAATAACCTAGCCTCCCCAAGCTCAAAACAACCAACCGGAGAATGACATAGACTCCTATATAATGCATCATAAGGAGCCATCTGGATCGACTAATAGCTGCTGTTGTAGACAAACTCGTCTAACATTAGAAACTAATCCCATTGACCCCCGAAATCAATGACACAAGCTCGTAACATGTCCTCCAAGATTTGAATAGTATGCTCGGACTGCCCGTCTATCTAGGGATAAAATACATACTCAGCTCGACCTATGTGCCCAACTCACGCTGCACTGCTCTCTAAAAATGCGATATAAACTGAGTGCCTCGATCCGAGATAATAGACACAGGTATACCATGAAGGCGAACAAGCTCTCTAAGATAAGTTTGAGCCAGCTGCTCTAAAGAGTAGGTAGTCATAGCTGGAATGAAGTGTGCAGACTTGGTCAGTCTGTCCACAATGATTCACACCGCATCAAATCTTCTCAAGGTCTGTGGCAACTCAACTACAAAATCCATAGTGATACACTCCCACTTCTACTACGTAATATCTAGCCTCTGAAGCAAACCACAAGGTCTCTGATACTCATACTTAACCTACTGACAGTTTAAACACCGTACCACATACTCAACAATATCTTTCGTCATTATTATCCATCAGTAGAGCTGCTTCAAATCATGGTACATTTTTGCGGCACCCGGATGAATGGAATACCACGAACTATGGGCCTCCTCAAGAATCAAATCTCGCAACCCATCCATATTAGGCACACAAATCTGGCCCTGAAGCCTTAATACCCCATCATCACCAATAGTCACTTCCTTGGCATCACTGTGCTGCACCGTGTCCTTAAGGACAATCAAGTGGGGATCATCATATTGACATGCCTTGATGCGCTCAAAGAAGGACGTGATATAGTGCAAGCAAGACACCATCTAGGCTCCAAAATATATAACCATACAAACCTGTTGGCCAAAGCCAGAACATCCTAAGCTAATGGTCTCCCCCCAGTTGGGATAAAAGCAAGACTCCCCATGTTCTCCGCCTTCCTACTCAAAGCGTCGGCCACCACATTGACTTTCCCAGAATGATAAAGAATGGTGATATCATAGTCCTTTAATAGCTCTAACCACATCTGTTTCCTAAAGTTTAAGACCTTTTGCTTGAATAGATACTGAAGACTCTTGTAATACGTGAACACCTTGCAAGATACACCATAAAGATAGTGCCTCCAAATCTTAAGCGCGTGACCAATGGCTGCTAACTAAAAATCATGCACTGGGTAGCTCTTCTCATGGGGCTTAAACTGTCGCGAAGCATCAACAATTACCCTATCATCCTAAATCAATACACAACAAATTCCAACCTATGAAGCATCACAATAGACTGTATATGATCCCGATGTTGAAGCCAAAACCAAAATCAGAGCTGTAGTCAAAGCAGTCTTGAGCTTCTGAAAGCTCTCCTCGCACTCAGAGACCACCTAAATGGGGCACAATCTGGTCAAGGGAGCTACAATATATCAGAAACCCTTCATGAAGTGGCGATAATATCCAACCAACCCAAGGAAACTATGAATCTTAGTAGCAGTAGAAGGTAAGGGCCAACTCTAAACTGCCTCAATTTTCTTCGAATCCACGAATCTTAGTAGCAGTAGAAGGTATGGGCCAACTCTAAACTGCCTCAATCTTCTTCAGATCCACCTTAATCCTCTTACTAGACACCACATGAACCAAGAATGACACCGAGTCTAACCAAAACTCACACTTGGGGAATTTAGCATATTGCTTCTTCTCCTTAAAGTCTGGAGCACGGTCCTCAAGTGCTGCTCATTCTCCTCCTGGCTGCGAGAATACACCAATATATCATAAATGAAGATGATGACGAAGCAATCTATATAAGGCTGAATTCATCAAGCGGATGAAAGCTACTGGGATATTGGTCAGCCAAAAAGACATCACCAAGAACTCATAATGTCCATAATGTCTCCTTAAAGCCATCTTAGGAATATCTGAAGCCCTAATCTTCAAATGATTGTACCTCGATCTCAAGTCAATCTTCGAGAATACCCTAGCACCCTAAAGATGATCAAATAAATCATCTA